ATAAGAAGAGAAGAAGGGATTCGATTTTTACCCTGCCCTTCACTCCCCGAAAGAGTCTCCGAGTGTCTTACACAACAGACACCCTGGGAGGTAGGCGGGGCTGAGAGAGCTCTTTCGAGGACTGCTCCTGAGAGAACAGCTCTGAGAGAACTTGTGACTGACCCAAGGTCACACCAGCAGCTGCATGGGGAGGCGCAGGAAATCAAACCCGGCTCTCCCAGATTACAACCTGCGCTCCTAACCACTACACCAATGCAATGCAATAGGCTTCGGGGTGCAGAACCGATCCCCGAAGTCTAAAAACAGACCTGAAGCAGAGCACAGGCATTAACATGGCACATTCAAGGATGCACCATTCTACATCCTAGTGTTAGCAAGCTGTACACAGCAGCACAGACCACCGTCGCTAATAATTTTTCCGAGGCACTTTGTGAATCGTTTAGCATGGGGTGACTCTATCGCCTGCGTAGAAAAGCCCACTGGGATAATTTAATTTTGCAGAGTTTGCAGAAAGCCAAGAGAGGGGGAGCCCTCCAGACTTCCCCAGACAGGCCGTTCCACCAGATGGGGGCCACCACAGAGAAGGCAGGCGTACGGGCAGTTGTTAATTCTGCCCACTTGCAGGTTGGTGCCTGCAGAACCCCCTGCTCTGATGACCAGAGGGGGAGAGGCGGTCTCGCAGAGAAGGAGGAGGAGGAGATTGGATTTATACCCCGCCCTTCACTCCTCGGAGGAGTCTCAGAGTGGCTTACAATCTCCTTTCCCTGTCCCTCCCCACAACAGACACCCTGCGAGGTAGGTGGGGCTGAGAGAGCTCTTTTGAGGACTGCTCCTGAGAGAACAGCTCTGAGAGAACTTGTCACTGACCCACGGTCACACCAGCAGCTGCATGGGGAGGAGTGGGGAATCAAACCCGGTTCTCCCAGATTAGAGTCCGGGCTCCTGACCACTACACCAAACTCACTCGCTCTATCTTATCTTATTTTATCTAATCTATCCTATCTATCTAATCTATCTAATCTATCTATCTAATCTATCTATCTAATCTATCTATCTATCTATCTATCTATCTATCTATCTATCTATCTATCAATCTATCTATCAATCTATCTATCTATCTATCTATCTATCTATCTATCTAATCTATCTATCTAATCTAATCTATCTAATCTATCTAATCTATCTATTTTATCTATCTATCTATCTATCTATCTATCTATCTATCTATCTATCTATCTATCTAATCCATCTATCCATCTATCTATCTATCTAATCTATCTATCTATCTAATCTATCTATCTAATCTATCTATCTATCTAATCTATCTATCTATCTAATCTATCTATCTAATCTATTTTATCTATCTTATTTTATCTTATCTTATCTTATCTTTCTATCTTTCTATCATCATCTATCTATCATCATCTATCTATCTATCATCATCTATCTATCTATCCATCCATCTATCCATCCATCCATCCATCCATCCATCCAGTTCTGTCTTGGCTGAGCTTGTCATCCTCTCCCTGAAGATACTATAGAGCTGGGCATGGGCGAAAGTGCAAGCCCAGGGGCACGAACCAAAGGGCTCTTCGCTTGCGCCTCCCGGATGAACCGTTTGGTGAATCCTAATCAGCTCCGAAATACTGCCAGTTTTGTCCGTTTTGGCTTACTTAGGCCATCTTTTTTGTTATGATCCACTCTTGGAATCTTCTGGGGGAGGAGAGTGGGATATTTAAAAAGGCCAACAAATGAAGGACACGTGACTTAGGAGAAGTAGGAGCCCAGCGGGAGGGGGAACAGGAGCCGAGTGCTATGGAGCCGCCCGGGGCGGGTAGGAGCCGTGCGTTGCCTCCCGAGACCGCCTGCCCACCTCTGCCTCCTTCAGCCGCCGCTCAAACCAGCCTTTGGTGCCGTCCATGGACTGGATCTGGAGACGCAGCTCCTCCACTGTTTGCTGCAGGGACTCCAGTTCCTGGCTGCGAGCCTGGAGAAGAAGGGGGAACGAGGCGGAGGTGTTACAGAAGGCAGGGAGGAGAGACCGAGGCACTGAACTCAACGCACCACTGTTCAGTTTCAGAAGGGAGCTGTGTCAATCGGGAGTAGAAGAGCTGGATTCAAGTCCAGCAGCATGTTATACACTAAGCGCCCTAATTCCCTTGCAAGGGTTAAGGAGGATAGAATCATAGAATCGTAGAGTTGGAAGGGACCTCCAGGGTCACCCAGTCCAACCCCCTGCACAATGCAGGACATTCACAAATACCTCCCCCTCCACACACACCCCAGTGACCCCCTGCTCCATGCCCAGAAGATCGTAAGAAACCCTCCAGGATTTCCAGCCAAACTGGCCTGGGGAAAAATGGCCGCCTGGCCCCAAAGTGGCGATCAAAATATTCGAAGGCCTTGCTGAGCTCATGGGTGTCTGTGGCCCATCCGGGTCAGTCTTGTCTACTCAGACTGGCAGTGGCTCTCCAGGGTCTCAGGCCGAGGTCTTTCCCATCACCTACTGGTCGATTGTTTTAACTGGAGATGCCGGGGATTGAACCTGGGACCTTCTGCATGCCAAGCAGAGGCTCTGCCACTGAGCCAGGGTCTCAGGTCAAGGTCTTTCCCATCACCTACTGGTCGATTGTTTTAACTGGAGATGCCGGGGATTGAACCTGGGACCTTCTGCATGCCAAGCAGAGGCTCTGCCACTGAGCCAGGGTCTCAGGTCAAGGTCTTTCCCATCACCTACTGGTCGATTGTTTTAACTGGAGATGCCGGGGATTGAACCTGGGACCTTCTGCATGCCAAGCAGAGGCTCTGCCACTGTGCCACAGGTGGCCCTTCAGGTAGTGCGGCCCCCCAGCCAAATCAGGCCCAGAAGCATACTGCGGACAAAGGACACAGTGCCCGCCATGGGCTTGGAGGCAGCGTTGTCAACCCCCAGGTGGGTCTAGTAACAAATAAATA